TTAACCACTAAGAAGAATATATGCAGTGTATTATTTGTTGAAACTGTACTTTCGATTTGATTTGAAACTGTCTCATTGCTATATGTTTATCTATGAAACTCTGAAAAGAAAAAAAAAAGAAATGAAGAAATGAAGAAAGTTATGATCTACCTCAAGATCACACCTCTTAAGCCTTGATCTTAATAATTATAGTATTTCCTAGGTAGCATTTTTAATGAATGACTTCTATCATTATACTATTATTAATTATTTTTGGTACTAGTAACTGAACTCTGGACTTTGCACATGCCAGGCAGGCCCTTAAGCCTCTGGGCAATTGTAAAAGCCCTGACTTCTACTTGTTTGCATAAAGCTAGGCCCAATTTTAGATAAAAATTTTTGCCTATCACTTCTTTTCTTGGCTTCTTTGATAAAAACAAGATAAAAAATGGCTTTAGCCCATTTTATTTTAGAAAAATCACTTAAAGTAATAAAGTAAAAAAACTATTTTCACATTTTTGAAATTTTATTAATTCCATTATGATTTTAGTTATCCTTCAGAGATTGGTCTCTTCTCCAAGGGGAATATTCAATATAAAAATGTCTGTGATTTAGCAGCAAACTGACATTTTAAGCTTAACTGCTTCATCAGAAACCCTCTCAAAATGGTTATAAGATTATATGCTACATTTTAATAAGAACTCAAAATCCATAAAAATTATAGAATCTTATTAGCTTCATTATTTTTATTTTGCATTTATTTTATGCTTAATTTATTCCTATGCCCTAAGTTTTTGTTCTTCAGTTTCTTCTGGAATATCTTTTTCTTTTGTGCAACTTCCTCCTCTGGTTTAGGAACAATTCGTTTCTTTTCAGTAAGGATCATCTCAGTATGGCAGGGAGAGCTAATTTTGGGTTAATCTGGCCATGAGCTCTGTGAGCACAGCAGCACATCTTGGGTGCTTTGTTCACCTGGATATGTTTAATAACCAGAGAATCTACATCTAAATCCTTAAGTTCAGCATTACTCTCTGCATTTTTAAGCATGTGCAGCAAGAAACTCAGCACCCTTTTAGGGCCACCAACCCTGTGTCCAGCCCCACTACTTAGCCTGGGCGGACCTATCAACTCTACCATTGCAACGCTGGAATGGCATACATTGCTTCTTTAATGTGGCATTCTTCAGGTACTTGGTGGGTTTTCAAATACACATACCCTTGATGGCCTGGGCAGCTTTACGTATGTTCTTAAAGTGAATATGAAGATTTGAGCTTCTTGAATTGCATTATTTTGTGGGGTTTTCTAGGTCAAGAGAGTAGCAAACTATTTTCACAGGTCACTTCTGGCCACTCACAAGAAGAGCTAGTGTCATTTTTATTTTTATTTATTTTTCTGTGTTTAGGTCAGGGTCTACAGGGTCTCACTACATAGATTGGACTTGTAGAGACTCTCCTGTTTTCAGCTTCCCAAGTGCTGGGATTACAGGTGCGTGCTACCATGTCCAGTCTCAACTGCCGCCTCAGCGCACCCCATGGGTGGGACCAGCAAGGAATGCCCAGGAACGAACCCTGGCCTCTGTGCTCTGCCTAAGCAGGCGCTTAGTCTGCTGAGATATGAGGCTGGCCATAGTTTCATTATTTCTAAATGAAAAGAAACAACTTATTTCTTTGATTCGACACTGAAAAATTAGTATAGAAAACAAGTATTTTTTTCAAGTTACATAATGACTAAAAATTTAAGGCAAAATTTTAATTACATATTGAAAGAAATAATTTCAGACCAATATTTTATTATAAGCTTTTTTAGTTCAATGTTGTTTAACCACAAGAATTTGTGCCACAGTGTTTTAATATGGTACAGAAATTTTTATTTTTTCTGACATAGCAGAAACAAAATACTGTATACCGAACTAAGTATACATATATTTTTTAAGATAGAGTTTCACTATGTATTCCAGGCTAGCTTTGAACTCAAGGCAATCTTCTTCTGCCTTAACTTGCAGAAAGCTGGAATTCCATCCATGCAACACCATTCTTAGCTAAGTTAACTTCTGACTACCTTACTTAACTTTTGGTGTTAACATTTTTCCACCTATATACTAGATTTCTTTTTTTGGGGAGGAGGGCTTTATGAGAAGAGGTTTCACTTTGTAGTTCAGGCTGGTTTCAAACTCAAATTTAAAGTCCAGGCTGGCCTGAAAGTTATGGCAATCCACTTGATTCAGCCTCCCTTGTGCTGGCATTAGAGACATGTGACACAACACCTGACTTTATTATGGCTATTATGGGGAGGAGGGGAACACACAGCAAGAAGAAACAGTATAGAAAATAAAACACAGGTCCTTTGTTAGCTGTTGTGCTAAACATCTCTAGTACAAGGGTATCTCACAATTCATACATGGCAGTAAATAAAAAGGCAAAAACTAAATAGTCAAAGGAAAAAATTACAAACCACTTATATGTGTTCATGTTGTTAACTTATAAAATACAGAACCACTAGCTTCTACCTGTCCATACTTCAGGCAATAGTCAGAGTCCACTAACATAAAAGGCGAAACAGCCCACAACAGTGAAAGATTTGAAATAGTGTTCTCTGGCTAGCAACTGAAAAAAACAGGTCTTGCTTCACACAGACAGTGGATGAGTGGGGAACACAGCCAAACACCTGAAAAGAAAGAGTGTTATAAACAAACTATCTGTGCAAAGAACAGGACCAGGAACAGTGGATAAACCTAGGAATTTTAAGAAGGAAAACTGAAAAGGAAAAAAAGGAGTGAGGGAGGATGAAAAGAAAAGGGACCTTTAAATTGAGTAAAAAACCAATCTGAAGATGGGTGCAGTGATGCATACAAGAAATCCTAGTTGCTAGCCACAGGCTGAGACAGGAGGATTACTACAAGTTCAATGCTGTTGCAGGCTAAAAAATGAATTTAAGGTCAGCCTGAACTATTCTTTCATAGGGTACTCCTCTCTATATCTAAGATCCAATAAATCTGATCGAGAAGTTGTGAATCTGTACTTACTAGTACAACTAGTTCAGTAAGTTTTATATCTCCTGTATGCAAGAACAGGCTGACGGAAAATATGTTATCCAGCTAATTACTACTCGCCAAAAAACATGCAAGAGGTTGTAATGTTAATAGTTTCTTGAGCCTACTTAATGCCAACTGATCTAAATTCTAGAATAGGGAAAGAAAAAGGAATACAGAACCTGATATGGAATATCATAGTGTTTCTCTCAGCCTAAGTGTAATACACAGGGACATCTATATAAGTGGTAATTTTAGAAGAGTTGGGTTATAAATGTTATGATTTTTCTTCTGGGAAGGGAGCTTATGCTAACACTATATTTTTGCTAGTAAATTATAGCCTGAATTACTGTGATAAATTGAAACAAATCACTGTTCCTGTAAGTGGGGTGGGGTAGGAAGATCACACACTAAGTTTCTGCTACACACAGAGAAAAAAGTTATATGAGGAAACATTACCTCTTGCCTGCCCCCAGAACAAGCCAAGGAGAGTGGCGTGTCCTTGGTTCTTTCTGATTGGGCTTCAATGTCTGCACCATTGTCCAGCAGTATCTCTACAACCCCAACATGACCGGCTGTAGCAGCCAAAATGAGTGGAGTAAAACCTGGAAAAAAATAATCTCTGTGAAGTGCTAAGCAAAGGCCCAACACCATTTTCCAACACACCTAAACATCAAGATGAGGCTAAGAAATAATATTTCTAAATAAGTGATAATTTTTTTTTTTTTTGGTGGAACCGGGGATTGAACTCCAGCCCTTCTACTGAGCCATCCCCCCCACCCCCCGCCCCGCCGGCCCAACATTTCTAAATAGCTAAAATTTCTTCCACACATATTACAGAAAATAAACTTCACATATTGATAAGCCTTACCTTTCTTATCTCGGTGCTCAATGCTAGCTCCTCTCTCCAGCAGTGTTTGTACCAGCTCCTCATGACCCCCAGCACAAGCAAGTGTTAATGCTGTGTCGTGATTACTCTCAGTCTGTAGAAAATTAATTTTCTGATTAGCTTATAAGACGGTTTTCAAATGTTAGTAAATACACATATAGACATTATGGTTACTATAGCAGATATTTGAATAGTACGGCTTTTCTAGCTTTTTTTCTTCACCAGCAGCCAAATACTGATTTTTTTTTTTTTTTCTACAAATAATATTGGCACAGAATAGGCAATTCTGGAACAATTTTCTGTCAAAATAGAATATTTAACTAGACTATATGATTAAAAGAAACCATGGACTCATTCTGCTCCTGAACTAAGAACCAGACGTATTTTCCTATCTCGGATAAGTAAAAAAAGACATACTGTTCAAAATGATGGTATTTAGAAAAGCAATGTGGACAGATATCCCTGAACACAGATGATTAACCCAACTACCTGCCAGGAAAGCTTCCAGGCTACAATGCCTGAGGAGGTGCCCAGAGCCTGGCAGTCTCTTATAGTTGGGAAGAAAAGAGTGTGGAGAGGTCAAAGTACTGGAGTTAATGTTGCAGATTACTAAGAGAACACTAACAGGACTGCACTCTGGAGACCTGTGGAAGGGTTCCCCTCAAGGCTTGAGTTGAACTTGGATGAGCATGCATGCGCAAGGATTTTATTGGCAGTGAAGGAAAAGACTGAACACCTAGAGCTGGAACATATGGCCACAAACAGCTGAAGTAGAAGCACTTAAGACACACATGATAACAAATTAGTATTGGATCCACATAACAAAGCTGAAAGGCAAGACTTGAAAAATTCTTTCCAAGAAACTTAGCTGTATCTGAAACAAAGCTCCAAAGGAAACAAAAACATAAAACACACTTGGTATTTTGAAAGACAAAAATGACTATTCTATTTGATATGGCAATGTCTGTATGCAATTTGACTTACAGTAATGATAGTAACCAACAGTAGATTACTAGTGGACATATTCTAATATAGTTCAAATGTTAATGTAGTTAACCATCTCATTCTCTATACTTCTAATATTTCGTATCTGTGGTATTGAAAACAGTAACTGTTAGCATATCTGAACTATGGCTGGTATGACTGAAAGACTATATTTATTTATTTGAACCAAAAATCGAACTCATGGCCTTCAGCTTGCCAGGCAGATACCATGCTGCTGAGCTACATCCCCAGCCCCTGAAAGACATGTCTTATTTCACTTAGTTTTATTTGAATAAATGATAGTAAATCTGAATACTGGAAAAATTTTTAGGTTGTCTAGAATGTCTCAAGTAAATGACTCTACTTCTCAAACCAAATCCAGTACTGCTAATGTAAATTCAAATTGAGATATACATCAAAAAGGTGACAAACATGTAATAAAGGGACTGTGAAATACAGGGTTAGGAACTTTTGGTATGAGGGCTATTCGATCTTCCTAATTGCAAGTGTAATATGCATTCCAAATTATGAACTTTTAGGAAGAAGTAAAAATGTGAAGCAGCTCAATTTTTTGGTATCGGTTAAATGTTGAAACATTATAAGTATATTAAATTAAACAAAACCTTTTTGGGGACAAGTTTTCCTTGGCCATGCTGTTCTTGAACTATTGCATGCCAGTGATTCTCCAGCATCAGCCTCCAAAGTACTGAGACCATAAGCACATATCACAATGCACCTGGCAAAATATATATAAAAACTGATAATTTTATATATAAATTTTCTTTTGGACAGTGCTGGGGATTTAACTCAGGGCCTCTGCACTGAGCTACATCCATAGCGTTTTTTGAGAGAGGATCTCATTAAGTTACTAAGTTTCCCATGATGGGTTGAACTTACAATCATCCCACCTCAGCCTTCCAGAGTGCTGTGATTATAGGTGTGTGCCATCATCCCAGCTATTGCTCCTTCACTTTTTAAAAATGTGGCCACTAAAACATTTTGAGCTAAATGTGTGTCACACTACTTCCCTAGTAGACAGGATAGCTCTTAAGTATTTTCCATCGTTTCACATACACATTTCTTTATCAAATTGTTTTGCTATCTGTCATTCTAGGAGGACTTCTTGGAAGGTAAAATGTCCTACTGATGTTTGTGTTTTTCTCCCAAAACAGTAACTGACAGTCATGTAGAAGAAATGACAATACCTTTGAAAGGCCACAGATTCAGACAGTTACTAACAAGAGGTCATATTTATAAACGAAGCATTTATTTTATACATTATATTTATACAATAAACACAGAATCATATCTTTCCACAATCTAAACTGGTCTAAAGACCAAATTTCATCCTAAAAAACTGAAAAATTAGACAAAGGCAAAATGGTAGTCAAAAAATAAGAGAAGTCCTCTGGTGAATTAAGAAAAGCTGCTCTGCAAAGAGGCTGGAAGAGAGCAGAGCTGCTGGTCACAAGGGAGGGAAAACCAGCAACCACAGTCAAGAGGGACAGGAGTAACTACAGTGACAGTTCTAGTGCTCTATAGTATCTTCACTTCAAATTCACAACAGAAAAATTATTGCTATGACTTCACAAAAAAAGGGACAAATCTCAGAGAAATAACTTTCAGATGGCCACAAAAGCTAGTAACTGGTAGAGATGGGATTTTGTTTTGTTTTGTTTTTTTTGGTGGAACCAGGGATTGAACTCAGGCCCCTGCACTTGCCAGGGAAGTGCTTATTCTACTGAGCCATCTCCTGGGCCAAGATGGGATTTTAAAACTAGGAGAATTTTCTTAATTCTGCTCCCCTGCTACATTCTAAAGAGGTCCTGATGCACAGCAGCCATGTATGAATATCATGTTAAGTATCTGTCTTCTGGGTTAGTAAATATGCAGTCCACAGACAAGCCAACTTTCTGATGAAGTTCATGAGATTTAATTTTTTTTTCCCAGGAGCTAATAGGTAATTTATAAAAACTGTGTCAATCTTAAATAGAGAAAGAAGACACATACAAAACTTCAAAAAGCATGAAAAATTTTAGATCTGTGAAAAGTGAAATACATATTTCTCCACTTACGAAATATAAATTCAGTTAATATTAAGAGCCTTCTGTAAGTACTCTGCTATATACTCTAGGTTTGACGAAGTTATCATAGGTCTTTCTTGCTAACATGGGGATTACTAAATATGAAAAATTTAAATAAACTATGAGAGTTAAAAAAATTATTGGAAACTAAGAAAATTAAGCTGAATAAATTTGCTGAAGAACTGAAATTAAGAATGAGTAGCTCCACTGCATTCTGGAATAAGAAGAAATCAAAGCAATTAATATTTTATGATTACATTTTAAGACAGTAACAAAAGAATTTAAAATTTTGATTATGCCAACTATAGTGGCATAATCCTCTAATCCCAGTACTCAGAAAGGTGAGCTACATAATATCTTGTCTTTGAATGAATGAACGAATCTTTTCTTTGTTGTTTTCTGAGGCAGGGTCTTGCCATCTAGTATAGGCTGCCCTTGAACTCATAGTGATCCTCCAACCACAGCCTCCTGAATCTGAGATTACCAGTGTGTGCCACCATTCTTGACAAATTAATTTTTGAAGGCTTCCATTCCCAAATATGCACGTATGCAATCCCAAAAGGATTGCTGGCCCACTTAATAATACATAAGTATCATACTAATTGAAATAAAAATTTGAGTTGATACAAATAACAAAGCAAAAAACTCCAGGTATTTTCCATAATGCTGATATAAATATGCAAAAATGGAACAGATCAGCTACACCCACTTCTATTTAGTATATAAAGTTCAAGAAGTCACTGTATGATCATTACCATACATCTCAGAGAAAGTCTCAAAGCTGAAGAAAAAAAAAAAAAAGACAGAGACCCACAGCTTTATTAGAGTTTATCCAGTATGCATTCTGAAAATTTTCTATTTAGCCTTCAAAACCATAAAATCCAACCATCTATGCTGTATGCAACAGATGTTGTCATAAGGAGTTCTGGCTTACAAAACTGATAAAATTATATTCCAACAAAATATTCTGTAAACTTTCTACATGACTAATTTAGGAAGAGTTTTGATGGATGTAAAGTTGTAATATCCACCCTCTTTCAAAGATGGAAAATAAAACAAAGCAACGATAATGGATATGCTATTTATTAAAAACCGAGGAAAAGCAAGACTGTCAGGTATCACTTGTTTTTCCTACATTAACTCAAATTCAAGAAAAGCTTGTAAGGATTTGGACTGAAGGGCACCTTCTTATAATCCTTGCTACTCAGAAGGTTGAGGCAAGAGATTCTGAAGTTTGAGGTTTGTGCAACATTCAAATAAATAAAATAAAATAAAATAAAATAAAATAAAATAAAGCTCAGCAGTAGAGCATTTGCCCAGCATGAATGAGGTCCTGGGCTTAATCCCCACTGCAAAAAGAAAAAGCAGCTCTTTCAGAAATTAGCAATAAGCAGTTTAGAAATACATGAAAGATGTAGTAATGAAGATGTGTTTTATAGCCCATGAATAAAACAATCTTGGTACTTTCTCATACTTAGTGGCTATTAGATACAATCAAATTTCACACAATACAAAAAAAATTCAATTAATTTAGGTGTATTCAACTTGTTGCTTCTTTGTTGGTGCTAGAAACTTAAGCTAGAATGCCATAAAATGTAAATTGATCTATTCCCAATTCCATAATCTGTGGAATTCCATTATCTTTAAAAAAAAAAAAATTTTGTACTCATTAACTTTATTGAAAATCAATAATAATTATACAGCAAATTAAAATTGTAGTAGAAAAAATAGAAATGTGACAGATATAAGGTGAAGACAGAGGAAATTCCATAATCTTAAAAAAATCTCTACTTAATTCCTAGTTTCTACGTGCACAGTATTCAAAAATAAGCAGTTTTACTACGCAAATAAAAATCACAACTATGCTATCAAAAGTTATGATAAGACTGGTACCCAAAAAATTTATGTACAAATTTTTCTTAAAATACATTTTTGGGATACCAGATTGTATGGTATTAATCTTGGCTGGGTGTGGTGGCACATGAGTGTAAGAGACTGAAGCAGGAAGAGTTCAAGGCCGGGCTCAACTACATTTTAATTTTGCTGATGTATTTAGTACAGGGTCTACAGGGTCTTACTACACAGATCGGACTTGTAGTGATCCTCCTGTTCTCAGCCTCCCAAGTGCTGGGATTATAGGCATGCGCCACCATGCCCAGTCTCAATTGTCATCTCAGCATGCCCCAGGGGCAGGACTGGCATGGTGCACTGGGTAGCCTAGACTACCTGATGAGCTCACTGCAACCTGGACTACATCAAATTTAATGTTCCCACCTAAGAAGTGAAAAATACGTAATTACTATCTCTAGGTTATAGTTTAGATTTAGAGATTATGGGGCTGATACTCATCAGTGGATCAGTCTGATGCATTTATAGCTAAATATAATGTTGGCAGGCAAAGCCTGGTCAGAGGAGGTGGTCACAAGGGCATGACTCCCATCTCTCACTGCTTTCTGCTGCATCCATCCCATGCACTGTTTCTTCCCTGACTGCTGGCCTGCCTTGCAGACAAATAAGCATGAATCAAAACCTCTACGGAACTATGAGCCAAAATAAATCCTTTCCTCCATAGCTTGGTGCGTGTCAGAACTGACTGCAACACTCTATACCCTATTCCTCTCATCTGTGATGGGAGCAGTAGGACCTACACCTCACAAGGGGTTTTAAATGCTAACTTTGAGAAGCTGACACAGGTTGAGCATCCCTAACATGAAAAGTGGAACTTTTGGATGCCACCATGATGATCTTCAAAAAATTACATTTTGCAGGATTTCAGATTTCAGGTTAGGGATGCTGAACTTAAATATGCCAAAATTAAGAAAGGTGAAACATTTCAAGTAACAAACATTTCAGATAAAGAATACTCAAACTACATCTGCACAGCATTAAGTTTATAAATGTTAAGGTTTGTTAAATTAAGTATAAAATGTTTATAAACTTTTAAGAAACAAATGAATTTTTAAGTTTCTCATATCATCTGTCTGCTACAGCATAATAGTATCATATATAAACCAAAATATACCCATTATATAAGCTCATATAAATTTTATTTTAGATCAAAAACATTCAGCTGGGCATGGTGGCACACACCTCTACTCCCAGTACTTTGGGATGCTGAGGAAGGAGGATCTCAAGTTCAAGGTATGTCTGGGTACTTTAGTGAGACTCTGTCTCAAAATAAAAAATAAAAAAAGGGCTGGGGATGTGGAACAGTATGAAAGCCCCGGGTTCAATCCCCAGCAGTTCAAACAAAACAAAAAGGAACAAAAGAAAAACAACCACCAAAAAAACCCCAAAAGCACTGAAACAGATGGAATATATACAAAAGGTTCTTTAATCATTTGAAGTATCTGATGTAAAAACCAATGACATTTTTAAAACATCAAAAATTAAAGGAGAAAAAGAACTAAAAAAAAAGTATCTGATTATTATTTTGTATATTTTGCCCAACACATGAAGTTTCTGATAACTAATAAGCAAATGCTTAAACTTCATAGAAAATAATTTCTATTTAGCCTAATCCAAATAGATGAAAAACACCTTTTTAGAATGATATTTTTAAGGAACCAGAGTCAAATCTTCAGCACGCTTACTACATTTGAAGTGTAACTTTTATCTTTTCTTTTTTTTGGCGGAACTGATGATTGAACTCTGGCCCTTGTGCTTGCCAGGGAAGTGCTTATTCTACTGAGCTAGCTATCTCCCCTGCCCCACTTTTCTTTATCTTTAAAACATTTTTTAAGTTCTCAGAAAAGGTGACTCACTGATGGGTGGAGAAGTGCTACAGCCATGTGAAATTATTTCACCAGTATAATCTCAAACTTGGTAAAATCATGATCACATTTGAATATACTGAGTCTATTTGTTTGAAATTGTATTTAAAAAAAATTTTAGTTTTGCTGCTTCTGCATTAATTCTTGGTCCTAGAAAAATGAGAGAAAATACTTATAGTAGCTAATTTTAATACCCTCAAAGGAAAAAAGACTATATAAAATACAAATTAATTATCATATTTAAGACAGTTCTATAAGGGTACCAATATGAAATGAATGTAAGTAAGTGAAATTCAACACTCAAATGTTCTTAATAAAGCTACAGTGTGTGTCAGTTAAGGTTGGTGTCTTCAGAGTCAAATTAACTGGGTGTGGTTCCCATGCCCACTATTTCTTAGCTAAATGAAATAAGGAACATGTTTCATCTTTTCCCAGGATAGTAAGAGTAGCTGCTTTGTAAATAAATAAATATGTGTGTATTTAACATATATACGTGTGTGTCTATATATTTATGTGTGTAGTCTGAGGATTAGATAGAAGTAATTTCTTAAAAAGCGTTCTGAGCAATTTTAAGTAAAAATAAATACATAAACAAAAAGGGATGGAAGAAGGGAGGGGATAGCACATACAAAACAAAAGACATCTGTCAAATAAAACACTAAAGAAATTCCTTTTGACAGTACTACCAAGAAATACGTTAATAAAAAGACTATTTTTTTAACAGGTTAGGCGTATGTGCCCCTATAAGTCCATAAACGTACACAGCCTACACGTATCAACACATATACTTCCTGAAACTCAGACTTATAAAGACCTGATCATACAAAAAATTAAGTCTTAACACATACTGCTTCACCCCAGGTATTAATCAGAATTCAAAACTATCAGTTAAAATATAAAAACTACATTTACAACCTGCAAAGACCCACTCCTTAGTGCTGAAGGTCAGGTCTTATCTTCCAGGTCAGACCCCTGGGCTTCTCTTTAGAACAGAAGATGCACTATTCTGTAAACAGATTGTGCGAAACTAATTTTTTAAAGAACCTATTTACTTAATAGCTAATTTTTTAAAGCTTAAACAGTATCTTGGGGGGGTTATATTGCCTCAGGCAACTGAAGACAGGCAGTATGTCTAACTCCTCCTTGAAATGCTTTAACAACTAAGTTTTAGAGACTTACTAGTTAGTAAGAATTTTGAAAAATGTTTTAAACACAGCTAAGGATATGTGATATATAAAAACAATTAGCCTATAAAGTTAGAATATTTTTCTTTAATGTGCCATTATATAAAGTATATCTTCTATTAGTAGAAAATACACACTGATCTTGTTATTTTTACATTACATTTCTTTCCTAAACTACAACAGATCAAAATTTATTTATGTTGGAAACCAGACCACCATATAATTTTCAGTAACTGTCACATTTTTTAAATGTAGATTTTAATTAATAAATGTGGCTCTTATCTTTCCCAAAGCAGCTGTTCATGTTTTAAATCACTGAACATTACTGTTTTTAATGATGGTATTAATTCCCATGAAAAGCTGTCTCTCCTAAATTTGGAGCTTACCTGTGCATCAATATCAATGGCAGGGTAGATGGGGAGCATGGCGGAAGGAGAGATGACAGGACTTGGAGTTGGAGTCTGAGGTTGGGAAATGGAAGCAGCAATACTGTGGGTAGGAGTGTTTGACATTGCAGATGCTCTTCCACTGACTGCTGTTGAACAAAATAACTGTGCTTAATAAGGATGAAACACTGTTAGGTTATAGTAACAGTAAAAAAGTATTTATTGGAAATATTTAAGATTTTGAAAACAAAAGTTACTACAGCAGTAATAACTCATTTCCCGGCTATTTTTGACTAGGAAATATTGCAAATTATAATGTACACTGAAAGTCGTACATTTTCTAAATAATCCATCTGAAAGACAAGTTCCCCATATGAAAGTAGTCATAAAACTTTAATACAAAATAATCCTGAAAATAAAAATATTTTAATGTACTAAAATTAAATACAGTATAAACTTAAGTGGAAAGTTGTCCATTATAGTTAGTTAGAAACTGAAAAAGAGGTGTAGTAGTCAAGAGCAAATGGGAAAAAAATTGATTTTACTTGCCAATTTCACACCTTATATTCTACAACTAATGACAGTTACACCATTGGTTGGAAAGAATGAACCTGTTTAAAACACTGCTCCCCCATTGTTTTACTAACTAAACCTGGGATATTCTGAATTGTAGCCCTCAGCATGACAATGTTTCAAGTACAAAAATCCAATCCTCATATAGGAATATATTTTCTCAGATGAAGAATTATTCTGAGCATGGTAAAATACCCAACAACCAAGATGGCAATCACAATTTATAAAGCAAAAATTAAAAGATTAGGGTAGAAATAAATGCACGTAAACAATCATCCCTTCAATATGGAACACTTTCATTTTTCTAAGTAGGATTTTGCTGTGATACGATTTCACACCCAAATATGTTACTGAAGGAATGGCTAGTTATGTAAATACTTAAGTAGGAAAACGCCAAGATGGTGGCATAAGATATAATGCAGATTCCCTTGAGGGTATATTATTCCCTCATTCATTCACTTCTAGAGTTATTAAATTAATACATGAATATCATTATTTTTCATCCCCTTATTAAAAATACTATGGTATTATTAAAGCATGGGCATTTATCACTGAATGGTCAACAAGAGTGGATGTGTGTTACCAAAGTAGTTATTTACTACATCAGACAGAAAACAATCATGATTCACAACTGGACTTGAAACTGGGCAAAAGAGATTATCCTGACAAGAGTAAAACTGAAATTGACCTTACAACAATTATAAACAGAGCTGTCAATTAAACCTACTTTACATGAAATCCTTAGATTAGGCACACGTATATACTACACATTATAGCAATACACAGTCTATAATTACACATTTTTGAGTCAATTTAAAAGCCAAACAAAAAAAGAAGTCAAGCCAAACAAAACATTATTTGAATCCTCAAGGATTTAGATCAAGAGAAAGGGCATATCTAATGTGGTAAATTAAGTATCTAGTGACCTTGATATTGTTATGCCATATTGTTAACTTCGTAAACCTGAGAAAAAGATCAAGCAACTTAAATGTCAATGTTATAGTTGTAAAATTCAAACTCATAAAATCTAGTTTTTAAAGTAGATTCCATTATTTTCTGTGGTTGGATTTTCACAAATGGAAATGATAAACACAAAAAATTGCTTTAAAAGGATAAACACCAGTATGTACAAATAACTAATTTTCATTTCAGGTATTAAATGGGTTAAAAAAATCTAAGATGTATTGTTAACTGACTGAATAAAGTACAATTTCTATTAAAATTAATTTTTTTTTAAGCAAGATTGGTTTTTAATCACCTCATCTAAAAAGAAATGGGGAAAACTCAATTCTCTCCTTTCACTCCCTTTGGGGTACCAATACAACTAGTTTACTGAAACTAAATAATTGCCTACCATATCTATAGATAAAAAGTAGCAAATGTAAGCATGTAACTGATATACTTTTATACATGGGACTTCAATTTAGAGGGAATGAGAGAAAACCATATGCTTAGAAAAGTTTTTACAACAGGAGAAGTGGGGACCTTAATACCATAGCAAAGGCAGTGTAAAAACAGGTTAAATAGGACTGTTTTGCTTTGGCAAGATAAGGAGAACAGAAGACATGATTTTTGTCAGTTAAATACTAGAGAAAAAGGAGACCAAATGTGACAACAGTCTATAAGTGAGGAGTAAGAAAAGAGCAGAGGCTATGCTGGAGGAAGGGGAAGAAGACTATCAATTTTAAGAGGTTGTACTATATTAGAAACTCAAAGAAGTGGAAATGATCCTTAGTTAGATGACTTCTATTATATTAAAGAAGTTCAAAGGAGGCTGCAACAAAAAACACACAAGAGTATGTGTGTGGATGCATGTGAACTAATAAGTAGGCAGCTGGGTATTTAAAATTTTGCTCTTTTTGGCAGTTTTTCCTCTTGCCACATAAATGAGAATAAAGAAAATTTCTTTTCCTGTATTTAGGACAGAGTCTACAGGTTCTCATTATGTAGATTGAACTTGTAGTGATTCTCCATTTTCCGCCTCCCAAGTGCTAGGATTACAGGTGTGCGCCACCATTCCCAGTGTCAATTGCAGCCTCAGTGTACACCCTGCGAGTGGGCCAGCATAGCACACCAGGATTGAACCCTAGCTGCTGAGTTCTGCCCTAGCAGGTGCTTTAGTCTGCTGAGCTATCAGGTCAACCTTAAGGAAGAAATATTTTTATAGTATGACAATTATCTGTCATTTTTTAAAAAGTCATGTACATTAAAAAAAAATTATATGGAAACATCTAGAACACAGGCATTCTGTTGTAGGGGTAAAATACAAATCAAGAAAAATGGCATTTTGCAAACTTCTACTAATTCTCATAAACATTAAAAGTTGCACAAACAGCAAACCGCTGTTGGCTACTATGTCAAACAGTGTTTACATTAGGTAGCATATCAAAAAAAAATTCAAACATTCATTTAAACAGGTAAGTACAGTTTTTGGTAGTCTGGTTGACAAAAGGAAAAATAATATTATGATCTAAATTATAGGATATGGATAAAATATTAAATTTGGATTTATGACAACTGCATTCCAATTTTCATAGATTATTTCAAAATCTACTTTTATTGTCTATTGTTATAATCTGGTAGGGATGATTAGTGGTATTTTTTCAAATGTACAGAAAAAACTATACTCATCAACATTAAGATCCTTTATAGTTCTTACAATTATTCTAGCAATTTTTCCTGAACATAGTTATTTTACTCAGGATTATGAAAGATTTTCATTTGGTGTACCACTGCTGAGGTAATTTTTAAAATTAAGACCAGAAAACTCCAATTTTAAAATATAAAATCTGTTTCATTAGTTTATTAATTCTGAATGTTAGCTAAATAAACACTTTTAGAAATTGAATTACATAATCTCATCATACTATGTAATGTTACTGAAACAGTTATAAAATTACAGTCAACATTTCTGGTATAGATCAAGGAGTAAAAAGGGGGAAGAAAAGAGCAAAATTCAACCTTTTATTCCCTTTATTTTCCTTTTCTCTCCTTTCCAAATATCCTTTTTTTGTTGTTTTAAATTTCCTATGAAAATGTCCATCTTTCTTGTGGTTTCTTATGCTTCAAAGCCTAACAAATTTCATCCCATTTTGTTGTTACAGAACTCATGAAAAGTAGTAAAACTGAGAAGCATTAGAACAATCTCCTAATGTACTTCTTGACAATGAAACTAATTATAATGAAATAAAATTTCTCTGGCTATACATTTAAAAATACCTCACTTATGATACTGCCAGGGAACCACATGTTCAGTGTGAAAGGAGACTAAACATTAACATTCACAGGGTATAAAATCACTGACATACAGTATAATGAAACCCTATTGGGGTTGGTACTTTATTAAATGCATTTAAGGTTTGCTTAAATATCCACCAGGTTTGAAGTATAGTACATCAGGATATAAAGTGGTTTTGTTCACAAATAAGCTTTCTGATGTGTCCTATTAGTTTTGTACTTCAACTTTTGCCAACTGTCCAGTTTATTGGTATGAATACAGAAGCAAAAAGCTGAAGTTCAATCTCAGTATTCTGAACTTGGCGGGGGGAGAGGGGGAGGAACAAAAATAGAAATCAAACACCAACCCCTCTGTCTGAAAACCTAGACTCCCAGCCTATTCTGATAAGCCAGAAAGCTTCCACCATTTGTACTGAAAGAACTACTTCTTAATTTGACCTGTATCCCCTGAGAATTTCTGAGATGGAACTAGTACCTAAAGATATATATGGGTCAAGAGTCCAAAAATAGTTCTCAAGCTGGGTAATGACAAAAAATTCTGGCACACTCTTACTAGCCTTAAGCAAATTATATTTGATACCTGCTCATAACAATATAAACCCACCTGCCATGATGTCATCCAGCGTGTCATTGAGGGTCTGAGCAGGGCTGGCTACCATTAACCCTTGTTGTGTTTCTGTCAGAATTCCTTGCCCCAGCCCTGCCAACTGTGCTTGGCCCAGTACTGGCTGTCCAACTATCACTCCTTGCAGTTCTGTAAGATTTGCGATGGACCCTGGAGGCAAGGGACCTGCCGCCAGAGGCAAAGCTTGAGGCATGGCCAGAGGCTGGATTGGTGCAAAACCAATCTGAGCAGCAGTCTGCTGGGGTTCATCTTTAAGCAAAACAGGATCCACTTGCTGTAAGCGTGCATAGTCTCCCTCGGAAAGATGTTCTCCAACCCCAACAGGAGTTAATAGTCCCAGGTGTTGGCAAGATTGTTGTTGCTGCTGCTGCAGTTGAATTCTTTGAGCTTTAACCTCTAGATACTGCTTTTTAAGCTGCTGCTGTGTTTTCAGTTGTAACTCTCGTTCTACTTTCTGTAGTTCCTCCAAAATCTTTTGTTTCTTCTGAATCTGCTCCTCCCTTGTTTTGTTCAACTCCTCAATCTTCTCCTTGGTAAGTTGGTCAGCATGAGCGAGTTCCAAGGACTGTAGTTGTGCATTCTTTTCTATGGCTTCTTTAATCCTCTGTTCCAGTTCTGTTAACTTTCCCTGAGCCTCTTCTACAATGCTCTCTGGAGACTGATTGGTGATGTAACCCTGTACATCCTGGCTGTTTGCAGGCAAATGGCTGCTGGACTTTTGTTTAGAAGCAGCTGTGTGAAAAAGAAACCCCCTCAGAAGTGCACATGAATGGCATCCTCATTACAGAGTTACTGTTGGGAGGGTTAGTGCCAACAGTTATGCACCACATTATCATATCCACAGAAGGTGAAAATGCACCTTTAAGGAGTTAAACACAAATCCACCTTCTTATCATAAATACAAATGTGGGTATTTATGTGCATAGTAATCTTGAAATTTAATCTCAGAATCGTAAAATTATTAGAATGGCTAAAAATTAGACAATTAAAGGGATGTAGGTTTGTGATATATAAGGGGTGCAATTAAAGTAAAATCTAGGGCTAAGTGTATATATTTCACAGTCATTAAGATGCCAAAACTCACAAGAACAGAAAAATAATGCTAAATTCTTAAGGTGCAGAAAACAACTTAGACCTCTAAGTCAAGGTTTTTTGACATTTAATAGTCTGTTCCTTTTAAATACACACACATACACACAGAGAGTGCCCAAACCACTGAGAAGTACCAAGAAATTGAAACCAAATACAACATATGTTTTTATTGGGGCCTACCATCAAGACTGATAAAGAAGATATAAATTCCTATATTCACACAGCTACCTGGCCAGGACAGAACTGGGATTCAGTTTCCCTGTAAGAAAATGTGTTGGACTACGCCATCCATTGTATCTTCTGAGAGCCAAGTAAACAGACTGTTCTGGCTACAAGGTTTAGCAACCAATTGAAAAAGGTGCCCAAGGCTCTAGGCTGGTAGTACTTATTGAAAAGAGCTGGTGGAAATACTTATCATTTATGTTGGAAAATAATAACAAGTAGCCAAAATCATAAACTACAACTACATCAGTTCTTCAGGTAAAACTTTTAAAAGAAAAAGTGACTCAAACTGGTAGGGGTAATGTTTGGGGATATAACTAAAAACATGCATAATGTAACATCCACGAGTCAAATATGGACCTCAGAATTCTAAATAAATAAGTATATCTGAAGTAACCTTGAAATTACTAGTTGAAAAAGGTATCCCAGATATAAAACCTATATTAAATTACTTTAAAATAAATTTTAGTATTTGATCCAACATATTAATCTTTGTCTTAATTCACTACAGAGATTTAAGTAAAGAATTTACCCCCTCCAAAAACCAAATTATACTCAGCTTAGTATTTTACATTAATAAAAGTTAGAGAAAATCATGGAAAATCATAATTCTACCTAAGATAGTATCTAAATTTCTCCCTCTAATACTTCTAATTCTAGCATAGGTCAATACTATTAACTATCTTCTCTCCGAATTACATGCTTTATTCATTGGTAAAAAAGTAATTGTATCAATTTAGAGTAAAATTCATTTTGTAGAAAAACAACTGTAAATGGCTAGATTTTTTTTGTAAGCTTATTTTCACCTGGACAGCATGTAAGAACAGTCTTCAGAAGTGTAACTGACCTTTATTCCTGATGGGAAGAGTAGTGGCAATATTGGCAGGTGGTTTGTCAGGCTCCTGAGGTGGGACAACCATGGGCAGTGCTTGAACTGGTACACGAGGTGCCTAAGACAAAGGATAGAGTGATTGGTTCTTTTCCTACATAACCTACTAAATAGTATGATAATCAGAATAAGTTACAGCGACTTAAAAATATTTTAAGCATGCCATCTGAAAACAATGTTATATTTACTTCCAATGTGCTGGTACACAATTATTTTCTTTGACATTGAGTGAGTGGGGGGCAATGTGCATAAGCAGCAGACTGAACCCAGGGTTTCACACACACTAACCATGCAATCTACCACTTAGCTACTTTCCTAGTCCCCTTAGTATACTTTTTAATGATCACTCTGAATTCAAGCTCTTATTCTCACATAAAGCAGAACTGTATCAGTTTTGAATCTGAATAATGTATATTTATTTATCACATCAAGGATACAGCTATGTAGAAAACTACATATAACAAGAAACAATACAAGAAACAATAAGAAAAAGGAGAGAAAGAAGACATAAAATGTTTTAGTTTGAACTTACCCTATTTAAATCGTGGGAAGGGGGTGTCAGCTGAGTGACATCTGGTGGAGGGGCTGAAAGTAAGTTATTAGGATAGTCCAAAAGATAGCAAACAACACTTGTATGGCCACCTTTTGCTGCTTCTATCAACATAGTTGAGCCATCCTAAAAGAGAAAAAAAGAAAAAATATATATATAGCAGTGAAGGAGTATGCTGGTACAGAATTTTGTTTTGCTTTGCTTTGCTTTTTGAGAAAAGGTCTTGCAATGAAGCTCAGGCTGTTCTCTAACTTGATCATCCTACTCCACCCTCCCAAACACTGGGATTACAGGACTGTAGCACCATGTCTGGTATAGTTTAGAGAATCAGAAAGTTAACAGGTCCCAAACACATTCAAATCATGGATTTAGTAAAGAATGTTTTCCTCCAATAAAACAGAAGAAAACTAATATCTAGAATGCCCCCCCTCAAAACCTAATACATTTTTATTTTGTGATGTTTAAGAGTAAAGATCTAATTTACAGTTTCCAAAAATATCTGAGTTACATACTTTTAAACGGTGGGTAGGGTCAGCCCCATGAGCCAAAAGTAGTTCCACCACTGCCAGATGGCCCCCTGCACAAGCCAGGGACAACACAGTATGGTCGTTATTAGCTGTAGTTCTATTCACGTTCGCTCCTAAAACAAACCAGAGATAGAAAATTACTTTTTTGTGTGTTTACTTAAAATCTTGGGTCAATCTAAAAATCAAACAGAACAGGGACAAGAGTATAATAAAGACCCCTCTACTCAAGTTCCTAGTTTCATGATAATCAACAAATGGCTAAACTTGTTTCACATGAACCCACATTGATTCTTTTCCCCTATTTTGAATTATTCTCAACGAAATTCCAGAAAAACATGATCTAATTTAATCCATAAATATTTCACAATTCATAATACAAGTAGGCTATGCCCATTATCAAATAAATGGATAAAGAAAATGTATATTTATAAATAATGAAGTGTTACTCTTAAAAAGAACAAAGTGGGTGGGGGAAGACAGCTCAGTAGAGTAAGTGCTTGCCTGGCAAGTGCTACGTCCCGAGTTCAATCCCCGGTACCGCAAAAACAAAAACAAACTAGGACATTTCTAAGAGGACACGTCTTGAGACCATAATGTTAAGTGAAATAAACCAGACACAAAAGCTTAACAGACATTTTTTTTTTTTTTTTTGATGAGTAGAATATATTTATTGAGAGAAAGAAAGCTCCTGTCCAAGAGAGGGACTGGAGTCGGGCCTGAGCGGATAGTTCCCCTAACAGACAATTTTTTGCATAGGAGAAACTCTAAACAATAATGAAAAAAACAAAAGAACAGGAAAAAGAAATCTAGATAGTCTGCAAATGGGAAGGGGATTAATAGCAGGAGGAGTAGTAAGGGCAGGAGAGCGGATAATGTCTTCTGTTTACTATCAGCTCCTCTCAATGAAGGTGAACATTATGTAGTACAAAAATGAAAATAAAATGTCAGTATGCAAGAGGAGCATGGTGGTACACACCTATAATCCCAGCACTCAGAGGCTGAGGCAGGTAGATCATTTCAAGTTCAAGACCAGCCTGGGCTACAAAGTGAGCTAAAGGCCATCCTGAATTACATACCTTGTCTCAAAAAGACAGGAAAAAAAAAAGTATGTATTGGTCCTGTTATAATTTATACAGCAAAATATGTAATTTATATTTTGTATTTCTCAGCAAAAAACTCAATGGCAACCAATAAAAGTAAATCACTCTGCCCTCTATTGGATAATTTTTTTTTTTTTTTTTTTTTTTGTGGAACCAGGGACTGAACTCAAGCCTTGTGCTTGCCAGGCAAGTGTTTATTCCACTGAGCCATCTCCCCGGCCCCAAATGGTGGAGAATGGATTTTATTTTGCAGAACTGGGGAATGAACTCAGGCCCTTGCGTTTGCTTCTTCTACTGAGCCATCTCCCAGCCTATGGGATAAATTTGTAAAGAAACAACAAGTTGTATAACGTACATGTACACATTCCCTAAGTTGACTGTAAAACTCATGTTCCACAAACATATATCCCCCAAAAAAAGAAAGAAAAAAAAGTATCAACTTTATCTTTTCAATAGGAAACACCTATAAATGAAAATAGATATATATTGCCCTCAAATATGAATCTGTAATTATTTGGATTATTGTGTGAAGTAATGGAGTAAATGAAAATAAAATGCCACAAAGAAATGAAATGAAATACCACTAGACAGGGCATTAAAGTTAGACCATTTTCTTTTTCTTTTTTTGAGACAGATCTCACTATGTAGTATAACAGGGCCTGAATTTCATTATGTTGCCATTATGGGTCTTTTTTTTTTTTTTTTTTTTGAGACAGGGTCACACTAGTAGTTCAGACTGGCTTTGAATTCACTATGTAGGCAGCCCAGGCTGGCCTCAAACTCATGGTGATCCTCCTACTATAGCCTTCCAAATGCTTGGATTATAGGTGTACCCCACCACACCAGGCTTTTTTGTGTTTTTTGTCCCACTACACTCCCCAACCTGGTCTTGAATTCTGAAGACTCTTCATGCATCAGCCTCCTGAATGGCAGGTTAACAGGTACTGCTACCACAGCTGACTTCTCACCCCCACTAACAGAGAGTGAAAACAGGGGCTTAGACTGCACTATGTGTGAGCTCTTTTAAAATTTTGATTTATCTCACTAAATTTCTTAGGCTGTGCTATGGTTTGTGTCTAGCTGTCCTCCCAAAACCTCATCCAGTCAAGGGGCAGACTTCTAGAAGTTGTGTTTAATTCATGATCCAATGCTGGGATTAGAGTGTGAGAGTTACAACAGTCCTGGGGCAGATAGCCTACTTGCAGTATAAGACAGGGAGAGAGCTTGCTCTCTGCCTCTACTCATTTTTGCTCTTGTTCTTTTGCTATTTTCTGCTGCCATGAACTGATGCCTTCTGCTATGCTTCACCCTGCCTTCAATCCAGGCAAGTATGGACTGAAACCTCAATAAACTTTGATCTAAATAATCCAGTCCTTCTTTAATTCTGCTATTGGGTATTTTGTCCCAGCAAGGAGAGAAAAGTAATCAAGACAGGCTGTGTTCAAACTTGCAATATTCCTTCCACCATTCCGATTGTGGGGATTACATGGGTGTGTGCCACACCAGCCAGCTAAGCTCATAATTCTATTCTTGAAAATATTGTTACAGATATGTATCACAAGTGTGTGCTCAAATGCGTAAAATAAATTGGCTAGTAATTTTTCTGATTTATATAGTTTTACCTACAATTTCAAACCTATGTTTAGTATTTTTAGTAAATATATATACTATCTTCTAAACTATACACAGCCACCCAATCTCTTTTAAAATGTGGGCTCAAAAAAGTAAAATCTTTAATTTCTTATATTAAGAACATGATGATAGCTGGGCACAGTGGTGCATGTGTATAAGCTGAGGAAACAGGATTCCCATGAGTTTGAGATCAGCTTGGGCTACAAAGTGAGTTCAATGACAGCCTACACTACAAAGTGAGACCCTGTCTCAAAAAATAAAAGAAAACAAAGAACATGATGAACTAACTCTTCATGAAAAACTTTAACCTTAAACTCATGAACCTAAGACATAAGAGAAGAAACATGGAATTTCATTATTAGTATCTCTGTTGTTCAAACTGGAATCACCATGAATAAAAACCTGTATGCTTTTTGCCATAGCTGCTACATTTAATTCTGAATTTTTAACATGTCTTTATATTCTGTATAGAATAAATCTCTGCATCAAGAGATTTGAAGAAAATGACTTGGATAACTTTTCTCAGTGGCAGAAACATAAAAATTAGTATTCAACTGTGTGTGTACGAATGCTTAACTTAAGCTCACATACTTAGCCCTTTTTCATTCTTTGAGACAGGTTCTTGATTCCTGATACATCACTGTGTAGACCTAGAGACTCTGAACTTTTGATCTTTCTGCCTCAGCCTCTAAAGCCATACTCAGTTTAAGGGAAAGCTATGTGACATACGCAGAACAAATTCAGTTCAGAATCTTAAGCCTTCAAATACTTTACAGAAATAACATACTCTTTGTTTATTGAAGATCCCTGAATTTAGGCACTGTTTTGCATGACAATTCTTTGTCATGTACAAGTGCTGTATGCACTGTAATGTGTTGATCAACTCCATCAGTGGAATGCTAGTCCCCTGGCTCTTCCATATTATATAATAACCTCAAATGCTCTCTGCCACTGAATCTTCAAATGTCTTGTATAGGTAGGCATCTCTGGGAACAAGCAAGTGGTTAATGAACTTACCTTTACTAATTAAGAACTGAACAGTACAAACATGACCAGCTCTTGCAGCTTTCATTAATGGAGTCCTTCCACCTTCAGATTCATGCTCCTATTACAAAAAAGACACAGTTGACATTTACTTACTAATAAACAATTCTTCTTTCTCATGAAAATCAATGGGAAAAGAGTTAACTTCTAAATATAAATATATTAAATATCATGCTTTGAATTATATTTGAAAATATTCTCACTCTATTTATTTATTTGATATAGGGTCTCACTATGCAGGTCAGACTTATACTGATCCTCCTGTCTTGACGTCCCTAGCGCTGAGATCACAGCTGTGCACCACCACACCTTGTTTCAGGGCTGGCATGGTGTGCCCAGGGATATGGGTTGGCAGGGCATGGGGTATGAGGGATCGAACCACGGTCCTTGTGCTTATGTCACTCAGCTATCTCCCCAACCCTCTTTATTTCTGAGAGAAGGTCTTGCTGGTAGCTTAGACTGGCCTTAAAGTCTGAGCAATTTTCCTGCCTCAGCCTACTGAGTCCTAAGATTATAGACATTACCACCTTGTCTGGAAAAATGTACCCTTAAATTAAAAAAAAAATCTCAAATCAGTAACCTGTTCTATGGAGAGCTGGGGTTGGTGGCACATACCTGTAATCCCAGAAGTTTGGAGGCTGAGGCAGGAGCATTAAGAACTCAAGGCCAGCTTGGGATACATGAGACACTGTCTCAACAGGTCAAAACAAAGCAAAATAAAATCAATTCTGTGCAAATAATAACTAGAGTAGCTAGGCATGGTGGCACATGCCTATAAGCCAACTTTCTGGGAACCAGAGGTAGTGTTCAAGTTCAAGATTACAAGACTATTTTTAAAAAATAAAAACTGGTGTTACAGTCACATGATAGTAACATACTCATCAAAATCCATGTGGTAATTTTTCTTCCTATCTCCACAAAAATGATTCTGGAACTTGAACAGTGAATGGAACTCTACCAGATCATTCTTTACAAAAGCCTTATCCATTCTGGGGTTGGGAAGATAGCGCAGTGGCTTAAGCACCTGCCTGGCAAACACAGGATTCTGATGTCAATACATAGTAAAAAAAAAAAAAAAAAAAAAAAAAAAAAAGTGAATCAGGAAAATCCTTATCCATTCTATGTAATACTCCTTTCATTAGTTTGTTACCTACCTCTATAAATGTCATTTTCCCTCTCTTTATTTACTTCCTGTTTTCTCTATTTTTAGATTAAATAAAAATAAGGCTAATGATAATTTTGAAAACTACCAGTTTTAATATGTTATTAGTGCCTTCTGGAGAATCCAGAAAAGGACTGAAAAATCCACTATCATTGCTTAGTAACTGAGAACTCTATTACAGAAATTTATCTTTAAAAAATTTTTAAAAGTACAAATAATAAGCATTTGAGAAAAACATTTTTTACAGCATTCATGTCTAGTGAAAAATTAATTTTCCTGTGAAAATATTCTATAGGTTGTTCTTATTGCCACCAATGAAGCAAGTACTAAACATTACATTACTGTGTATTTCATACTCATTACAGTAAGCAATGGAAATATACTTCCTAAGTTGAAGGCCAAAGTCTAACAAAGAAGACCCATGTACAAATCTAATTAGAATGTAACTTGTCCAAGTGCTTTAAGAATTATACTAAAACATGCAGATCTAGAAGAGGTTTAACAATAATCTTACAGCTGAGATCAGAAAAAGTTACTTTTGCCTGCATGTGCATTTCTACTGTAAACACTCAAATTCTTTGGGAAGGCACATTCATCTGTGTTCTTACTCAGAAACTAGCCCCAAGGAAATGGCTTACATTTTAACTATGAGCTATACTGGTTGTCTCATTCTTACTCCACCACAGGCTAAATAGAAATACTAGCATATGAGTTACGCTTTCCTACCTTTCAGTTGTACTCTTACATTTTTCAAGTGAACTATGTTTTTGCCACAATACTGCCTTTTTAGTCCTTACTCAGCCCATACCATAGTACAGTGTCTTAAAAAAGCTGCTTCACCTGAGTTTCTTTCCTGTTTGCATTTTTGGTTTTCAATTTCTTTTAGAATCTCTAGTACTTATCACAGATCTTGGTATCTATTTTATCCCTGCGGCTTAGGCTATAGGCACAATTTATATCCTAAACTGTATTGGAAACCTTTAAGCGATATTTGCCTTTTTATAACAAATCAGAAAAGCTTTAAAAAATAGCTAAATAAGTACTAAATGGAACATTAATTGTACTATATATTGCTAGGCAATTTTCTGTAGAAATGAGGTATAGAAGGTTAGAAATAGGAATATAACAGACTTCACAGTGCAGCAATAAACTGACTACAGGAGATATGTCCCCCATCAAGTTGGAAGTAAAGAAATACCATTCATAGATGCATTACATAGTTTTTAATTAATTGTCTTTTTGTTAAATATAAGACTGTAAAGGTAACAAGCTCACCAGATCTGCTCCTGCCTGAAGTAAGACATCTGCTACATCAGTATGACCATTTTCACAGGCATATGTCAGTGCTGTATCTCCTGTTGCTGTTGTTGCGTGAACATTAGCTCCTGAAGCAGTTAACAACATATTTAATACAAGAGGGACAGGACATAAATGGATATAGAAATTTCTTCTATTTATATCAGCCATATCACCATCTCAAGTCAGACAAAACCATCTAATCCATTTCTAGAAAGAGAATACTGTCAACATCTTTAAAAGAAAAATTACAAATAAAACTAATTGTAATTAAGAGCACACTGTGCCAAGTTATACAGAATACACATAAAAGCATTTTACTCATTTCTTTAAACATACATCCAGGATATTTGCATGACATTTTCACTTAAATATAAAAATGTCCCCAAATATGTTACACCTACCTGCAGCTAGTAGGTATTTAACTAATTCCAAATGGCCCTCTTGAGCAGCCTCCATTAAAGGGGTTGAGCACCCTAGTTCTATATCAGCCCCTGCCTTGATGAGAAAGTCTGCCACTTCTAAGAAGCCTCCACAGCAAGCCAGAGTCAAAGCAGTTTCTTGAGTTTCTTCTGTCTGTGCATTGATATTTGCTCCTAAAATAAAGACTCTATTTTTTAAAAAATTCATTAACTTATTCTACAACAAGTAAAAACATGACTGCTTTCTAGTAACCTGTATCCCATACTGAACGTATTTATCCCCATATACATCTCCCCTATTGCTAAAGCAGTTAAAAAAAAAAAAAAAACTAGAAAATAAAACAAACAAAAAACCTAAGACTATATCCAGGAGTCCATATTTAATACATGTAGCTGAACAATAATCATCCAAGAAGCTAAGTATTATCCCTCCCCTTGTAATAAGGATGCAAATGACAGGCACTGATAATAATAGTAACTAACACTTTATAATCTCTTACCAGGTAATATTCAACAAACCTTACAAATCATTTGTGTTATTTTATTACCAGTTCCATTTTATAGCTAAGGAAACTGAGGTTAATTAATTTATTCATGGTCACAACAGCATTGTCACTGACATCACCATTGTCACAGCTAACACTTAACAGTCATTATGGCAAATACTGCTCAAAGACTTTGTAACATCTGTTTAGATACCTATGGATCTGTCTCTGCAGTCACATAATTTTACACAGGAAAACTTTGCCTACAGCTACAAAATTGGCAAGCAACAGAGTTGTCATTCAACTCTATGATGTGGGATGTCTGTTCCAAAACACGTATTTTTAAGTTCTAGTTAACATCATTCTTAAATAAAAGCAAGTTTTTAAAAAATTGACACTGCTCTTAAATGTTTCCAGCTTTTTTTTCTTTCTTTCTGTATTTTAGGGAAGGGTTTCCAAAGTGTTCAGGGTCTCACTACTAGATTGGACTTGTAGAGACTCTCCTGTTTACAGCCTCCTAAGTGCTAGGATTACAGGCATGTAACACCATACCCGATCTCAACGGCCATGTCAGTGTGCCCCCAGGGGCAGGCCCAGCATTGCAGGCCCAGGGATTGAACCCCTGGTCCCTGTGCCTGCTTGCTGGCACTTTAATCCGCTGAGCTATTCAGCCAGCCCTAGCTTTTTAAACTATACTACTAAAACAAAAATAAAGTTAGATTATAGATAACAATAGATTGTCTCATTTTTTCACCAAAGAGAAGTCCTCTATGTCCTGAGCTCCTTAATACTTTTCAATGCCCATTTTTCACTCACCATATTAGTCCTTAATAGCTTTCTACATTATTTTATGAAACATTACTTCTACTATGAATTAGTAATCTCTCAGAGAATCTTTTCAATATATTAACTTGAAAAAGTTCCCATTCCCTAATTCACAAGTCTAACTCAATTCAAATTCTGTTTAATTCACATAGCAAATGACTTGAAGAACTCTACCTTCAAAAAGTCTACCTGGTTTTATTTATCACAGCATAAGTAAGTTTGTTTGTTTGTTTGTTTGTTTTTAATTTTATGTACTTGGTACAGGGTCTCATTATGCAGCTCAGACTCATAGTTATCCTCCAGTTTCAGCTACCTCACCTCTGGGATTATGGCATGCGCCATCATGCCCAGTCTTGGTGGCCTGCTCAGCAGGCCTGGGGTGGGGCTGGCACTGCATGTGGTTCTAGGTATCAAATCCAGGTATTCACACTTGCCTAGGCAGATGTTTGACTGCTAAGCTATCTGCACAGCCCAGAAAACCAATTTTACAGCAAATACTTTTTCCTAAATTTGAAACATCTCATTTCACATTTATTAAAGGGGTGAAATAGACTCAATTTTATAAAAATGTACTCGTACTTTATACATTCATAGGTGAGTGTCTTGGCTGATGCAGTTACCTTGGCCTAGAAGTAATGCCACCATTTCTTCATGTCCTTCACGCGCTGCTTCCATTAAAGGTGTATAACCTTCATCGTTGACCTCTTCCAAACTAGCTCCTCTTTCAATAAGTAAAGCAGCAAGTTCCACATGCCCACCACATGCAGCCAAAGTCAACGGTGACTCAAATGAATCTGCAGGCATGTTCACTTGGGCACCACTGTCAAGAAGTAATCTAGCTACTTCAACATGGCCATCCTAATCGTAACATAATTGAAAAATAAAATCAGCACCAGAAAAACACCTTAGAATTTTGAAATCTTAATTTTACAATGAAGTTTACCAACTGCCACTCAAATCTGTATCTAATAGGTTAGTAAATCATATTACTCCCTACATACCTGCATAACTGAAACAGAAAACTGAGATTGAGGGTATACAACAAGTAGAAAAAAACATTTAATCAAGAAGCTTGTTAACCATGAAGAAAAAAATCAGTAAGTACATGGAAAGAGCCTGTTGTGAGACTACACATAATAATCAACATTAGACAGTAAACATTTAAATGCTAAAACAAATGAATACAGAAGGAAAATAGATGATTAAAAACCTTTTCTTTTTTCTTGAGACAGGGTCTTGCCATGTAGTTAAGACTAGCCTCTAACTCACTATGTAGCTTAGGCTGGCCTAGAAATCACCGCTATCCTCTGGCTGATAAAAATCTCAAGGATAAGCAAACTTACAATTGGGGACTAAAAGAAAACCACTTTCTGGAGCGGGGGAGAATGATCCATAATGTATTTGTTAGAGGAGGACAATGTTCAAGACACCTTCTTTGTTCCTCATAACTTAAAAGCAAGTAAATAATAAACCAAGATTGTTACTATTTGTCTCCTTTATGGATCTCTTGCCTATAGCTTACAATAAATATCAAAAATTTCTTTCCCCTTCTTTTTTCCTCAAATGAACTTTCCTCCTTACTACAAATAGGCTCTTCTTTTTTCAACATGTCATACCCCATTTTCTGCCTCTATCCTCGTCATACTGCATAACAATTCTAATGTATTATGGTTCCTTTAGTATTTCTTTAGCTCTCAATATACCCCCTGTAAAAATTAACTGTTTCACTTTTACTGACATGTAATTCTTAAAATCTCAATTTTCCTCAGCACTTGGGGGGTGGGTACTGAGGCAGAAGGACTGCCCCAAGTTAGAAGCCAGACTGTGCTACACAGTCAGTTCACCAGCCTGCACTATCAAACCGGCCTTCAAGTCACTATTAAACCTAAACTAGGATTACAGGCATGTGCCCCACTTCTGCTACAATGTTCTATTTTAATTTCTCAGTCTCTACATAGATTCTCCCCTGCCAGGTAAAGAATAATCATCATTCAACTTCTTTATTACAGAGAACTGTCAAAATTCTTAATATTATTGATGTGTTTTACACATATCGCTTCACTTAATCTTCATATGACCCCTTATACAGACAGAAAATTCACAATCTTCCAAGATAATTTATCCTAGCTTATAAAGAGTTGTTTGGAAAAACAATGGATAACTTAAGTCTTAAATACTAAGTATTTTTAAATTGGTAAATAAAATAACCTTTTAACACTTATTCTTGAATGGGAAACTGGGCAAAGACAGTTTAAATTCACATGGCACCTTTTTATGTCTTTGGCAAGTTACCTCTTTGTCATATACCATAAGTTAAAGCACAAAATTTTTAAGAGTATTATTACAAACCACTCCAAATACAATTCCTAAAAAAGGAATCCATGGGTCAGAGAAAACAATGACAGAGGAATAATTACATAATATAACACTTCTGCTTTAAAATTTTCCTTCAATGAACATACTCAGGAGTTATGCTTTTCAGTATTACTAATATAAAAGTATCACTTTTGTGTCAATTATAAGGCCAGTACAGAATGTGACACTAAGAGAATTCAGACAAGACTATAAAGCTTCAGAAAGCAATAAACAGAATTTAATGGCTTTCAAACTACTGATAATTCAGATATCCATGGCCCAGCTCCACAATACAGGTATGATAAGTACAATCAGTGCACTCAAAGTCATTAGTTATTGCCCTGACATACACATTACGCACTTCGCCAGTCTTACCATGCAAGCTTCCATTAGGGCAGTGTGCATTTCATCTGTTTTATGCTCTTGATCTGCTCCTGCTTCCAAAAGAAACCGCACCATTTCTAGGTGTCCTAAAACAAAGATGTGTAGGATTATTTCAACGTCCTTGATATCAAAAAACTCTTAAAATTATAATAGTTACTTAACTTACAACATCACATTTATAAGCACAATACTAAAGCCAACTACAAGCAATGCTCAACTTTCAAATACAGATTATACAAATGATTCTTTATCCTAGTGCTAGAAATGCTGCCACTAGAATCCCTGCTGTAGGCAAACAAAGGTGCCTTAATATCTAACGCCCAGAGTATCTCTTCTAGAACACTTCATGAACCTAGGTAGGCTATAATTTTTTTATCCTATGGAATACATAAGCTTTAGAACTAGTAAGCTGTATGATAATGATTCAAGCTACTGCGGTGAGAAAACTTTTTAAATTCCAGTAACTAATAAACTTTTCATAATCTACTTAGAACTTTATGTATGTTCACAATTATTCTTGAAAACATTTAGAAAGGGGCTGGAGAGATGGCTCAGTGGTCTAAGGCACCTACTTAGAACAAGCTTAGCAAAGCATCAGGGACCGCGGTTTGATCCCCCAGCACCACATGCCAGCCAGCCCCGCCC